ACGTCCTCGTAGGTTTTCCTCGGTTCCCTGGCGAGGCCCAGGAAGCACACAGACTGCCACTGATAGCTAGCACTAACGGCCAGTCAGTTCTCAGCATCCATGTGGTCGGCCGAGGAAGCTGTCGAGATACAGAAGATTGCGAGAGAGATCGTGCCCGAGATTAAGACACACGCCATTCCTCAGGGCTTGCAGGTGGAGAGGGGACCGGATGCCATTGTTGAGCATTTGCTTGAGGAGGTGCCAAAATTGCTGGGATGAGATAGAGCGTGTATACAGGCCAAGTGTAGATGCTGTGGTATCTCAATCGAAGTGACCCTGTGTCCTCTGTATTTTCGATGTTTGACCGTGATCATCGTGTTGATGGATCACTTGGGTACCTTGGGCACCGCCGGCCTGTCCTGCCTCGTGTTCTTGTTTCCGTCATGCACCCCGCACTTCAGGGACCCGATCCCCATCAGCACTCTCTGGGTAGCTAGGTCCTTAAGGTACCAAGGTAGGTAAGGTACCTAGGTAGCTTCAGCCCCTAGCCACCCCGCAGGAGCTCGGCAATGGTCTGGGGCAGTCGTCAGGCACCAGCAGGGCCATGACTTTGTCGATCCACTGCCCACCATCTGACCTTTCTTCTTCAGCCTGCATACACCTACATTGTGTCACCATCACAGGGCCTTTTCAACAGCCGCTCCACGTTGCTTAATTGATCGCCATGGATGACCAGGTACCCAAAGCGCGCGTCACCAGAGCAGCCGTTCACAAGGCTCGCCGGCCAAGAGCCGCGCGAGCGTGCGATGCTTGTCGAACCAAGAAGAATAAATGTGACGAGCTATACCCATGCACCTACTGCAAAAGTTGGTCGCCTTTTGTCTCTTCCTCTGCCATGTCCCTCCTGACCAGAAAAGCTGACATGGCCAGATCGCAAGCTCGAGTGTATTTACAAAGGCCAGGATGCTGCCAGCAGGCGCTATGCACCCGAGTGAGTCGCCCCCCCCAAAGTGTGGCATGACACCCAATTCTGAGTTGCAGCTCACTCATCGCCACATCTTCAGCTACGTACAACAGCTCGAGGATCATGTGAAGAGCTTGTCCAATCGCCTCGAGTCTCGAGAGTCTCGAGAGAGGCGAGAGCCAGACCCGCCGGCGGCTGCTGCAGAGGCCACGAAGCCCAGCGAAACGACCTTGCCGCTGGCAGAGGACCAGCAGCAACAGCAGCAGCAGCATTCGATATGGCCGGAATCGCAGATGGCGGCTGAGAACGAAGCCAACGCCAATGACAACTACGCTGCGTCAGACTACGATGCCATCCCGACGCCGCGCAGCACATCCACGAGACTAGCCGGCGAGCACGAAGTGTCCGGCGTCAATCGCCACACGCGCAACGTCGAGTTCTACGGCACCTCGTCCTCTGTCGCCCTACTATCCCACATTCAACGGAACGGCGGCCAGAACAGCTCGGCCGCTGATGACGCACACGCCCTTCTCGTCACGAGCCTTCACAATCCGTCCTTTCATTCTCCCGACACGAGCTCAGCCCGCGTCGATGCAGGCACACAGAGCCAGCCACTCCTCTACTCCCGCCACAGCCGAGGCTTTCTGGACAACTACTTCTCCGCCATCCACTACATTCATCCCATACTCGATAGGGAACTCTTCCTCCAGAGGTGTGAGCGCTTGTGGACCAGCGCCGAGGGCACCCGCGTCACTAGCTTTGCCGCCCTCTACTACAGCGTCCTTGCCCTCGGCGCCCTTGTCGGGGTCAGGCCTGACGAGCCTCTCGAGGGCCTGACCAATCTCCAGTGGAGCAGAAAGTTTTTCGACCAGGCCAAAACATATTGCAACCAACTCGGCATGGTCACTGATCTCGAGATGGTCCAGTGCTATTTCTTTCTGGTATCATCCGTGCCGTACATTTCGAGCCACGGAAGGACATTTGAGCTGACTTTAAACACAGGCCAAGGTTTGTCAGAACGAACTCAGCCCTCACTGTCAGTTTTTCCCTAGATCACAGACTGTTTCGAGCACTAACGGCCCCAGTGTGCTATATGTACGTCGGTCTTTCTGTCAGGACAGCGCTGGCCATGGGTATCAACCGAGGCCCCGGGCCCAATGCAAGGACAGATACGGCGAGATTGAAAGCAGAATCCCGGACCTGGTGGTAAGTATTGAGATGTTGCAATGTGATCGACAAAGACTTTTGAACGGGTACTGATGTGTTATGCTCGCCTCAGGGGCCTGTACTCCCTCGAAACGTAAGTTACGAGTATCACTTTTCCTAGACCACCACTCTAAGGTTCGCAGTGAGTTGTCCTTCGCAATGGGCAGGCCGGATACATTAGGAGCAGATCTCTACCACACCCGCCCGTATCCTTTCATACAGGGCTCACCAAACGCCGACGCCAGTCAGCCCGAGCTACTCGAGCCTCTCCATTGCGCCATCATCAAATCCATGGTAGACTTTTCGCGACTGACGAGGACAGTCTGCCTTGGCATCTATCTGTCCGATACGCCTGTGCTATCGACGACTGCGCTTGCTTTCCAGATTGAGAAGGATCTTGACCGATGGATCGAGAGTCTTCCAGAGCAGATTCGACCAAACATCTCCGCAGGCCCGCCGTCAACTCTCAAGGCCGCGCGAGACCCTCAATGGGCGAAGCGGCAAAAGCTGGTCCTGACCATTCGTACGCCTCTTTGCATGCTCGTGATTTCCGCGCACGTCATCTGACTTGAATTAGGGTATCATAACATGAGGATTCTTTTGTTCGGATCACTGCTGCTCAAGTCGTCCGGGACGGAGCGCGCATCGATCCCTGATGCACATGAGGCCACGGAGAAGTACCTCGATTCGGCCTCGAAAACTGTTGAAATCATATATCGAACACACGAGCACAACGACTTCTTCCGTACCTGGTACGTGGTCTTTCTCTGATCTACCTGCAACTCATCCTCTCTAACAGCCTCTCCAAGGTTCTACAATACCACATACACAGTATTTGCCGCTTCCATCATCCTCGTGCACATTACACGTTCGTTAGAGACCGACAACCAATATCTACTAGAGCGTGTCGGCATGGCCATCGAGATCCTCGAGAACATGGACGAGTGCGTCGTAGCCCTAGAGGCCGCCAAACTACTGCGCCAGGCGAAGGAGAAGGCGCAAAGCTCTGGGCCATTCACCTCCAGCCAGGCTGCTTGCGACTTTGAGGGAACCATGCTCCTAAATCAATACTGGGGCCCCTTGGACCTTCTAGGCGGCGACATGGACCTGGATTTTGCCTTTCAGTTCTCGGACCTCGATGCGCCCGGCGCGTCTTGAGGCGATGAGCTATCTCACGACAGTACCAACCCATCTCAACGTTGCATTTGCTCATTCTCAAAAACGTTGATCAGAGTGCCAATGTGGGGCAGTATTTCGACGGCGAACTCATCATCATGCCTTATGGTCACCTTGGGCTTGCGGCCCGCACCGACGCCAGCAGGCGTACCTGTGATTATGATCGTGCCGGCAGGCAGCGTGGCGCCCTGCGACAGGACGCTAACCAGTTTGGCGACACTGAAGATCAAGTCACTGTGTAAAAACATCAGTCAGTTGATCTTTGACCCAGACACATGGGTTTCAGAGGGCGATATACGTACTCGGTACCGCAATCTTGCATGACCTCGCCGTTCTTCAGACCCCGGATATGCAGCGCTGCGGGATCCGAGATAAGCTCCTTGGAGACGATCGCGGGACCTATGGGACAGGACCCGTCAAAGCCTTTGGAGTAGCACCATTGCGACTGGGCGAATTGGCTCGCGCGGCTGGAAACGTCGTTGCAGGCCGTATAGCCAAGAACATAGTCGAGGGCTTCGGTTTCGGACACATTCTTGCATGCGCGGCCGATGATTACCGCGAGCTCGGACTCGTAGTCGCCCGTGTCGTCTGCCTGTGTGATCGCCGGGAGCAGTGTCGGCGCGGGCCAGGGGCTGGCGAGCGAGGTGCTTGGTTTTCTAGCCGTGTCAGCACACACAGCTTCATCTCTAGAACATGCTGCTCGGCTCAGCTCTTACAAGAAGACGGTTGGGACTGTGGGAATCGGTGCGTCTAGTTCTTTGGCGTGCTGCACATACTGTGAGGGTTGTTAAAAAGGCAACTCCCTAGGTGATGGGATCATTCACTGCTCTCGGGGCTCACTTACATTCAGGCCAATGCATCGGATCGTGCCGACCTCATGAGGCGCAACGGGAGAGAGAACCTTATCGACCACCTCCCGCTGCGTCGTCTTCGTGCCAGGGCTGAGCACGGAGGAACCTGACCAGACGAGCACAGGCACATCTTGACCTTTGCGCAACGCAACACCGACATCGATGGTGGTTGATTCAGGCTCACCAATGAGGACCTTGAGGGCGTTGGACTTCGGGATGAAGCGAACAAGGCCTGGAGGGGTTGTCAGATTTCTGAAGCGGCCAGTTGCACGTAACACACAGGTGGGCTGAGGAGAGTGTAGAAGGGACTGGCCAGCTACGTACGCTGAAATGACGGTAGAGACATGATGACAGGGTCTAGATCGGATACATTCGAAGTGAATCGCTGGAAGGAAACTCGACGAGCTCGAGATTCATGGCTTCTAGGTCGCTCGAAATGCCACGCGACATTCTTTTCAATCGAACCATTCTCGTCTTCATCCTTCCATGGATCAACGATCCATGGTCCGATAGCCCTAGCGTACACCTTCGCACTGAGGACTCGAGGTCTCCTCATGCGGAGTGCGGGTGTCTTGGCAGGGTTCGGGATATCCGGATGCTCCTCCGGGATCGCTGTCACAAGGGAGCTCAACGCCATGCGAACCCATCGGGCTGTGTCCGAGTGGATTAGTCTCAGACACAATGACATCGTCGGTATGGTACACAAGGCTTCAGATGAGTCGATCATTCAAAGCCCAGCCTCCCGATCTGTTTGGGTCTCTCATTTCACAGCACGAGATCCAAAGTATTTCAACCTCGAGCATCATCTCCCTAATCGCAGAACGATGGGGTCCATCCACGCAGCCGAGCATGGCGAGTTCCGCCAATTCCTACCAGATGTGAACAACGCTCGGTTTACGGCCATGAGGAAACAAGACGCCTCTGAATACGCTGAAGGTTTCAAACTCAACAGGAACCCCCCTTGGCTGCACGCTCTCTACGTCCACTGGCGGAAGCTCTTCCAGGAGCCTTACCGGGGGATCACAACGGATGGTGGGCATGCCCCTGACTTTATAGTGACAATGACCATGACAATAGCTAATGTCGGGTTTCCCCAGGGAACATTCGCCCGGATCTATTCAAGATTCAAGACGAAGGTATCCCAATCGAAGACATTGTTAGTTCAGCAGATGCTCTGCTGGACATGCTCGACGAAGAGCAGCGTGCGCTTGTCAGCTACCACATTGACTCTCCAGAATGGCGGTCCTGGTCGAATCCCGAATTTCTCCTGAGCGACAAGGGCCTGCGCCTCGACAGACTAAGTGATGCGCCTCAGATCAAGAATGCCATCATGCGTGTTCTCCAGACGTCGCTGTCGCCAGAAGGCTACGCCAAGGCCGTCGCCGCCATGCGCATCAACGGGTTCCTGGGTGAGCTCGTGCAGGCGCCGCGCGTGTGCAATGAGTTCTCGTACAACTTTGTCCTCTTCGGACAGCCGTCGACGTCGCGGCCCTGGGGCTTCTCGTTTTACGGCCACCACCTGTGCCTCAACATCATCCTCTACAAGACTCAGATTGTTGTCTCGCCGTGGTTCACGGGCGCCGAGCCGAACCTCATCGACGGCGACGGCCCTCACGCGGCGACGCGGATCCTCCACGAGGAGGAGGTCCTCGGCCTGCACCTCATGCAGAGGCTATCACCGGAGCGCCAGGCGGAGGCGCAGGTATACAAGCTTCTCAAGGACCCGGCCATGCCCAAAGGGCGCTGGAACCACGACGACCAGCGCCATCTGTGCGGGGCATACCGCGACAACCGTGTCGTGCCGTACGAGGGCATCCTCGTGGGCGACATGACGGCCGCAGAGCAGGATCTCGTGTCACAGATCATGGGCCAGTACCTCCTCTACCTTCCAGAGCAGGCTCGACTGGCGCGGATGGAGCAGGTCAAGGCCTGGTATCACGAGACGTACTTTTGCTGGATCGGGGGCTTCGGCAACGAGGACGCCTTTTACTATCGTATCCAGAGTCCGGTTATCATTGTCGAATTTGATCACCACTCCGGCGTATTCCTGACGAACAAGGAGCCGGCCAAGTTTCACATTCACACCTTATTGAGGACGCCCAATGGGGGCGACTACGGTATGGCGCTGAGACCGTTGATGGAGGGCATGGAGCAGGGATTTGTGTGGGAAGGTTAGCTGAATAGTACTGCATAATGATAGCCCTTTCGTCTTAGGAGCGAAAATTGGACGGATGGTACGGCAATATCTTTCTAGATGGATCTCCCCTCTGGTTCTCGTGTAGGCATTCGGTGGTTCGCGATATCGCCGAGACTAACACCTCAACAAGCGCAAGTCATGAGCTTGAGCTGATGCCAGGGGATGTTCTTCAGGGGTTCCCCCACCTCTACATGATTCGGAATGTGGAGGTATCCCCCTCACTCCCCGCCCCAGTTGGCGGGGTCGTCCTTTTTCGGAGGGTTGCCCAAGCCCGGAAATCCCGAGTTTTGGGGGAACGTGGGCGCAAGATCCGAAGGACGACTGTCACCGGCATCGTGACTAGGCAGATGGAGAATCTGTGGCTCATGGCTTCCGTTCAATAAGGGTTGAGCAAGACGCGCGACGTCGCGATTTACTTCAAAACGTTCATGGTCCGGCGGGTTTTGATGGGATTGCCCGACAGTGAGAGATACACAACTAGATCACGTCCCAGAACAATTCTGCCGAATCACACTACAGTGTCCTGCCTATCACTTTCGCTCTCACCGGCCGGAACAAAGCCGGCAATATGACCTTCAAAGAGCTTCTCGAGGAGCTCACGCTCCAAGAGAAGGTCACTCTTCTCTCAGGTCGCGACTTTTCTACAGCAGCTGGCGTTGAGAGGCTCGACATACCGCCCATCAGAGTATGAACGCCTCATCACGAGCAGCAGAGCATACACTGACACAAATTCAGGTCGCTGATTCCGTCAGTGGCATCCGTCCCGCGGGCATCGAAGCGGACCTCACAACAGCCAGTTTCCCCAACACAGCATGCTACGGTTCGACGTGGGATGCCGAGCTCCTGGGTCGCCTGGGCGGCGAGCTCGCCCACCAGGCGCGCATGAAGAGCGCCCAGGTCGTGTTGGGGCCTACCATCAACATCCATCGTGATCCGCGCGGCGGCCGCAACTTTGAGTGCATGAGCGAGGATCCCCTCCTGTCGGGCCACCTTGCCGGCGCCGTGGTCAACGGCATCCAGGCCATGGGTGTCGGTGCGTGCCCCAAGCACTTTGTCTGCAACGACTCGGAGACGCTGAGGCACTTTTACGACGTCAAGCATTCGGCGGACAGCAGGACCTTGAGAGAGGTCTACCTCGCCGCCTGGCAGCATCTGTTGAGGACATCGGATCCTGTGGGCATCATGACGGCGTAAGGATCCCCTATTCGAGGCGTAGGAATCATGCGCGAGAGGCGCGAGAGACAGGAGACTGACGTGAAGACCAAACCAGATACAACAAGGTCGATGGAGCTTTCTGCAGTGAAAACAAGCCCTTGATGGAGGGGGTGCTCCGGGCCCAATGGGGATACAAGGGCATCACCATGTCGGACTGGTTCGCCGTGCACAACACGGCCGCACCCATCCAGGCAGGCCTCGACCTCGAGATGCCGTTTCCCATCTTCAGGGGTGCCACGCTTGTCAAAGCCGTCGAGTCGGGCGAGGTGACCGTCGGCGAGGTCGATGCTCGCGTGCTCAAGATGCTGGAGCTGCGGGATCGGACCAAGGCGTGCCACGGCATCAGCACCGAGAAGTCCATCATCAATGAGAAGACGAACCGGTTGGCCTGGGAGCTGGCGGCCAGCGGCATTGTCCTCTTGAAAAACGAACAGGAGGCACTGCCCCTTGACCTGACACAGTCCTCTGCCGATACGGTTGCCGTCATTGGGGAGTTCGCGCGAGACCCTGTCATCACTGGAGGCGGCAGCGCTTCATGCACGCCGCAGTACAGAAGCTCTCCCATTGATCTCTGGAAAGAGGCTGTAAACAACGCAGAACGCGTGCGATACTCTCCTGGCGTGCGGACGCGACGAATTATCCCTGTCGCCGACACCGATAAACTCGTTGCCAAGGATGGCCGTCCAGGCGCAGACGTGACCTACTACAACGACGACTCGCCCGAGCCGCTCTTGGAGGAGCACCAGGACAAGCCCGTCGTCTGGATGCTCGGGCAATTCAAGCCAGGTCTCAAGGTACCTGGGTCCCGGCTGACGATCACAACAAAACTGACGCCGTCCACGTCCGGCGATCACACCCTCACCATCAGATGCACGGGAGCGTTCACCCTCACCGTCAACGGTGAAACCGTCCTGACGGGCTCAGACAAGGGCATCCCGACGGAGCAGTTCATCTTCAACCACATTCTCCTCGAGACAGGCACACAAATATCCATGGAGGCCGGCGTCTGCTACGACATTCGTCTCGACATGGCCGGCCCTCCTGAGCTCGTCATCGGCGAGCCGACCCCCTACGCGGCTAGTCTCTGCTTCGAGGAGGCCTACGACGAGCAGCAGGCCATCGCCGACGCCGTCGCCCTGGCCCGCACCTCCGACGTCAGCGTCATCTACGCGGGACGCAACGAGCAGTACGAGTCGGAGGGCTTCGACCTCGACGACATTCGCATGCCGGCGAACCAGGCCGCCCTCATCAAGGCTGTGGCCGCTGCGTCGAAGAAGACGGTGCTCGTGCTGCACTGCGGGAACCCCATCGACGTCAGCGCCGTGGTCGACGACATCGACGCCGTCGTGCTCGCGCACTTTCCCGGCCAGGAGGGCGCGCGGGCCGTGGTCGACGTGCTGGCGGGCACCGTCTGCCCGAGCGGCCGGCTGGCGACGACGTGGTTCAAGACGCTCGAGGACGCGCCGAGCTTCGGCAACTTTCCTGCTCAGAAGCTGGAGGACGGCAGCGTGCAGATGGAGTATGCCGAGGGCGTCGAGGTCGGCTACCGCTCTTCACAGGCGGCGGCCGCAGACAGAGTCCGGTGGCCGTTTGGCTTTGGCCTGTCGTACACGACTTTTCAGTATGAGGGGCTCGGCGCAACGGCGGAAGAAGACGCGGAGACGGCCGTCTTGCGATGCAGTGTCACGGTCAAGAATACCGGCCGAGTCGCTGGCAAGGAGGTCGTGCAGCTGTATGTAACGCCGGCGGACGAGACGGCCGTGTCACGACCTGAGAAGGAGCTCAAGGCTTTTGACAAGGTCATGTTGCAACCGGGCGAGTCGAGGACGGTCGAGCTCACGGTAGATCTCAAAGTAGCGTGCAGCTATTGGGATGAGAATGAGGTCGCCTGGAGGATGGAGCCCGGAACGTATGGTGTCTTGGTCGGCGGGCACGCGGTGCCATTTTCTGTCAGCAAAGGCTCGTTGTGGAACCATCTGTAGAACAATAGACGCGTCTTTATGCTCAACTACGAGTAGTTTACATCGCGTCGTAGTCCGTCTCTACAATGACAAGTGTCTTGTCAATCCTGTCGACATACTCCAGGCGAGGGACCTCGGCCGTGAGTATAGACAGGAACAACAGCCACGATGAAACGACGTGTATCGTGGAACACAGCACATGATCACAGGTCACGTTCAAAGCATCGGAAGAGGAATAACAGGTAACGTCAGGGTGATCTTCAATGGCATGGTATTGCTGGCTACAGCTACCCGCCGGGTAGTAGTTCATAAAGCCGAAAACTCGAAATCAGCCCTGTACTCCGTTTGTCTCATGCTTTGCACTCAACACCCTTTTTGAAACCCTGTTTGCTCCCCCGCCCCCATTGTCCTGGACTAGAAAACATGAATCGTCTACTGGCCAGCAATGGCGTGGGCGCGACGGCGGTCACGCTCCTCGGCGATGGTGAGCTTGACACCCTTGCCCTTGGGCAGGGAGATCCAGGGCTTCTCAGAGCCGATGACGAAAACGTTGCTCTCACGGGTGGCGAAGGTGTTGTCAATGGCATCCTTGACGTGGATGATGTTGAAACCACCATCGTGGCGCTCACGGTGAGTGATGACACCAACACGACCCATGTTACGGCCACCGGTGACCATGGCAATGGCGCCGGTGTCGAACTTGATGAAGTCGGTGATCTTGCCAGTGGCAAGGTCGATCTTGACGGTGTCGTTGACCTTGATCAGAGGGTCAGGGTAGCGGATGCTGTGGGAAGAACGCAACGTTAGCATACGTGAGGGGAAGGGAGACACATACAGCCGCAAAGATGGTCGCTCCAATCTCGTCGCGGGGGTTTGAACGGAGAGGCTGCGAGGCAACAGGTGGCAGCAGCACGCTTGGCAGCAGCAAAGCCGAAGCGCGCTGCGCACGTACAGGCCGAGAGATCCAGCCTCCCGGAAGAGGTGTTTATCTCTTTGCTCTTTCCAGTGTATTCATGATCCCCCCCGAGTCGACCAAAGCTTGATCCAACGGCTGAATGATGTCTTACGAGGGCATGATTTGACTCACGTCCTGGCATCGTGCGTGACCAAGAATGGGACTCCACCACGGCCAAGCTGGACACGCTTGACCTTGCCGAGCTTGTACTCGGCCTCCTCAGCCTGGATACGGTGGACGGTGAAGCGGCCCTTGATGTCGTAGATGAGGCGGAAGTTCTCGCCGGTCTTCTCGATGGTGATGACGTCCATGAAGCCAGCGGGGTAGGTGATGTCGGTGCGGACCTTGCCGTCAACCTTGACGAGGCGCTGCATCATGATGGAGCGGGTCTCGCGGAAGTTGAGCGCATACTTGAGGCGGTTGCGCAGGAAGACGATCAGGGGCATGCAGTCGCGGAGCTTGTGGGGACCGGCCGAAGGGCGGGGAGCGTAGGTGCCCGACAGCTTGTCGAGAAGCCAGTGCGAGGGCGCGCTGAGGCGCTTCTGGTGCTTCTTGCTGTGAAGAGAGACAAGTCAGAATCCCGTTGATACTGGCTGCATACCGACCATTGACATGGCAGCGAGCGCCGACGACGTTGGGGCTGCGAAATGCGAGCCCGTCATCTCGAAGGCATTGCGAGTGTCAGGTAGAGGGCGAGATCGTGGTGAACTTACAGTCCCTTGCCCATCTTGACTGTTAGTACCGAGTCTGGTGGATGGAGATTGTTGGTGGTGAAGGTGAGGTCAAAGGTCAAGTCCACACAAAAAGTCGGGCTGTACACAAGTGTGGTCCTGCCTGGGCGAGAAAATTCTTTGTGGAGGTAGGTTTTCTTGCCCTGGACAGGCGGGACTGCTCGAGAGCGATATCATTGGTTGTATTATATGGGCCAGTGCCGACCATCTGTGTGCTAACCCACCACCGACTGACCGAAGTGACCCCACTCATCCTCGGTGTAGTGACCGAGATCCGTACCACGACGAAGAGAGACGGCTGTGAAGCATACCATCTACAGGCGACAGAGGATGGACAAGACGTGGTCATGAGGAACCAAAGGCGTCGAGGAAACTCTTCTCACGATTGATGATTTCTAGAAACGGTACACACAACTGCACGCAACGCACTCTATCGGACACGTGAATCGACCCAAGCAGTGATGCCGTTTTCGAGTCTCCCCCCTTCTTGTGTCAGAAGCGACAGTTCTCCATCTAAATCATTCCCATTTGCCGTGTCCCGTTGCCGAAGCCATTTTTTTTTCTACTCGCCAGCCAGTCGTAACTTGGCCACGAGGTAACAAATTGAAAGTGCGCCGTTCGTTCGTAGGACGATGCCAAGCGCCGGGTATATACCCATCCTTGGGTCCTGAGTACCATGAAATCAAGTGGATGGCCCCGCAGGATACCATGAGTCGTTCTGCAATACCTTCCCTGTTGATAAAAGAAAAATCGCTTGCATCAGAGGCCCATCGTCGAGATGAGGCTCTAACCGAGCAGCAAGCTAGCATGCCTGACCGTCAACGGCCGGGCGTGTATTTGCTCTGAGGTCATAGAGACACCAGATCAGAGTCAGATGCCATGTGCCGGCCAGGAAGGTCAGATATCTCTGAATCGTCAAGCAGAAGGCGGGAAATGTCCATTTCGCCAACACTTCCCATAAATGCTGTCGTTGAGGCCTCGGTCAGCTCGAATGGCTGCGGCACGACGGGCAGTTCCTCGTTTTCCATGGGCGACACGGTCCAGCGAGTGAGGTCTTCCTTCCATGCTAGTTGGGCAATAGACGATTGGTGCGCCTGGCGTGGCTGAGAACTGCCGCTCTCCTTTGTTGCGTTGGTCGATGTGTCGACACTGTCGTTTCGCTCCTTGAGCTCCTTGAGATGCAAAAGACCTCTTTCGATCCTTTGGTATACATCTGGGTACTTGTTTCGCACTCGATCTCTCAAGTCGGTGGGCTGGCGGCCCGAAAGACTGAAGCGCGGGTCGCGCTGAATTTTAGTCCATGACGGTCCGTACTTGTCGAGCCCTTCCAGGATCTGCAGGTCATCTTGTTCCGAGAAAGGACGTCGCTCCCGCCGATGCGACTTTTTGAAAGGCCCATGAATCCCGAGTTCTGCCAAATCTTCAATCTTTTTCCGATGCGCGCGGCTCTTCTTGTGCTTCACCACAGCCTCAGCATCATTGGTGTTCTGCTGACACTGGTCTGGGTCGAATGCTTCATCAGGGTCAATGAGGATATTCTCCGAAAGAAGGCCTGTCTTCGCCTTTCCCTTGGACTCCGCAGGCGGCGTGGGAAGAGGATTGACCGACGCCGTTGACTTTTCCTTGCCGTTCTTCCGAAGCTCTGTCGGACAGCACGTCCTGAAGCGATCCTTGAGATCCCCCGCCGTGCGGCTGTTGAAGTTAAACTCGGGGTCGGCGAGAATGTCTGTCCACTTGCCCACACCGTGTCGATTTACACCGAGCAGCAAGTGTGTGGTCTCCGATTCTGACCACTTCCTTCGGGGCTTCATGGCCTTTTTTCTCGTCTTGACGCTCCCCGGCTTTTGTGACTTCGAGGGCTCCACCTCCATGGGCTTGTCTTCGTGTACCTGTGGCAGTTCCCTCGCCGCCGGTTGGCGCTGCGCCGCATCGGGGTCAGGTGTATCGAATTCGGTGGAAGAGATTGGGGGAAAGAGGGCGGCGTTGGGTGGAGGTTCGTGTAGTCCGTTGATGATGGGCGGCATGGGCGGCAGTCGGGTCTGGGATGCTGCCTTTTGTTTCTTCACCGGCTGGGGCAAATGCATGAGGTCGTCCTTATTCGTCATGGCTCGGTGTCTCTTTTTCGATGCGGAGTCGTCCTTGCCCTCAGGCCCATCGTCAACTTCCTGGCCTGGAGCATACATGTGGCTGGCCTCATCCGTTTCGCCGAGGAGCAATCTCAGCGGGATGCGAGGAACATTGGCGATGGCACTCCTGTCTGTCGCGGCGTCCCCGTCCCTCCTAGGGTCTCGCAGCGTCGCCCCTGCATCATCGTATGCGCCCGCCGTCTGTGATAGGGAGCCATGGTTGCTAGTCGGCGGTGCGGCACCAAGGAGCTCGTCTCGTCGACCAGCCGTTGGTGCGAGGGGTGTCAGCCGGTCAGAGGCTTCGGGGAAAGCTTCGGTGAAGGGAGGAAGGTCGATGTGTCCGAGCTGAGGGGTTGTCGCATCGTTGAGCAGGTGGATGAGGCGCGGTTCGATGAATGCCATCGTGGGCGAGAGAAGTCGGCTCTTGCATCGAGGTAAACCTGCGGTTGAGCACGTAGGCAGCGAGAGGGGGGGTGGGAGGAGGGCACAATGAACAGAAAGGATGTGCAAGATATAAGAACAGACAACAAACTATGAAGTCGTAGAGGGCGGGGCGGGTATTTTTGGCCGAAGCAGCTGCGTGGTCAATCAAGTCCGGCTCCTGACGGCACACGTTTTGCTCCGCGAAGTCATTCTCAGGTCGAGGGGCGACACGGCTCAGGTAGGTGGCAGGCACCTACTCCCAGTCGGGAGCAAAGATGAGGCAAAGAGGGCACTGGCCGAATAAGGTTGCCTTGGCGCTCTTATCGACAGATGTTTCACGCTACCGGAGCTTATCAGCACGTGGGGAAGGCTTAAGTATCAGTCCACTTGACATGGACGGGAGGGGCTTGGACTCGGAACTTGGGGCCTTGAAGGTGGAGAGGCACAGACTTCGCCTCTCGCCCCCTCCCCCTAGCTACCTAGCAATGAAGCAAGGTACCGTACCGTCAGGCCAGGGCTATCCGGTTTCGGGTGTTGACTGATTTAGACGTCTGAACAACAGTGGGGAGACTCTTTATTATTAGAGGGAAGACCGAGCCAAAAACAGAGAGGAGACTGAAGTGGCTTCATCGTGTTTGTTGTTTGCTCGACTGGATTGGCCCCTCGTCCCTCCAATACTCGTCAAGCTGCATCAACTTGCGCTGTCGCCTCCCTCTTGTTCTGCCAGCCCGTGTTTGTCCTGCAAGGCTTTGTTTGTCCTGGGTAGTCTGTCGACTCTGACGTTGCCCGCGACCCGTCGCTTCTCTCCTACGTCCATCCCATTCTCGCGTAGCACTGCATCGAAAGTGCCCCCCGAAGGACGGAGCAGTCATGGCGTCTGCTCTGCCGGGGTTTCCCCGGACAGTATTCACCATTTTAGAACCCCTGTCGCTGTGCGTCTGCATATCTATTTTCTACTGAAATGTGGAATGATGCGGGCAGTGTACTAGTACTGACACGCCGACAGAGTCGCAGGGTTCCTTGGAGTCGTCGTAAACCCGGATCAGTTTGTCGCTGATCAGATAATCCAGCAGACCCCGCCTCTGCACTCGGACAATGGTCGCATGGTGACTTTGCAGCTGGGAAACCTCTACCTCCTGCTCGCCATGATCGGTGTCGCGGTCTTGTCCTCCACGAGCGAGATCAGAGTAGTACGGAACTACCTCGTCGCGCTGTGGGTGGCCGACCTTGGGCACCTGTGGGCTTGTTACCATGGTCTGGGGTATGGCCAGTTTGTCGACGTTGCGCAGTGGAACGCCATGACATGGGGCAACGTCGGCGCGACTGTAAGCATGACTACATTCCACCCACTGCATCGATGCCTGCTGACTGATTGATGATGCAGGCCTTCTTGTGCCTGACTCGAACGGCGTACCTGCTTGGGCTTTTTGGCCCAGATGGTCTGCCTCAGAAGGTGGCAGTGAAGCGACATTAGAGGAGTTGGCTTTCCTTGGGGCTTCCGAAGCCAGGATCAAGTCTGCAGGGTTGTGTTTGCTGACCACGACACCGCGGCAAGTCGAAACGATTTGTCGATGAATGCCTAGCATGAATCATGGTAGCACAGAACGACGGGGACGGGGCATTGCAAGGCGGAGTGGGTGTTGACCAAGCTGAAGTGTGAGGAAGGCGCAGGGCCAGCTACCGTGAAGAAGACCGTGTAGGCATATAGGAAGCTTTGCGTTTTGACCCAAATTTAGGATCAAGTTGAAGACGCTCGTGAGGGAAGGGTGATGCCTCTCCGTTGAAATGGGCCAACCGTGGGTCAAATGATTTGCAGCACTGCCATGGCCCCTCACCATGTCTAGCCACGTTGAGTAAGCCGCATGCAGGATGGATGCAAGGCAAAGTATCAGTCTGCGTGCTGCGTGAACAGGCTTCACACAGCGACGAGTGAGGTGCTTGAACCTGAGCACTCTGAGGCACCCAAGTCAGCTTAGGAGGGGAATGTACCTTACGGGTAGGGAGGTAAGTGAGAAGCAAATGTAGATACCCTGCCTCGCATCTGCCTCACAGTGCCAGGCCGAGTGCCGAGCTGCAGCTACTGGGTTGTTGCTCTGAGAATGGAAAGTGGGTACGTAGCTCCAGTGCTGAAGGTACGTACCTACCCATCGTTGCAAGACGAGGGTTGCTGGCTCCTGAGGCACGAAGGCCCGCCATAAACAATAACCCTAGAGGGTTAGGGTCAGTCTCTCACGGTCACCCCAGCTTCACAGTCTCCCGTCAACAAGCAATCGAGCTGCGCGAATCAAAGTAGTCATCACCATGCCGCGAGCAAAATCAAGTCGTCTGGTGCCCGGTCCTCCCGCCCAGCAGCAAGAAGGACGTGTAACGCGGTCGCGCCAGCGCGCCCCAAGAACACAGCCATCACCACCACTTCCCCAATTGCAACGCGTCAAGCAGTCCAATGATGGAGAAGAACCTGCGGAATCTACCAATGGACGTACAGGGAAAGAGGCTTCCGAGCCAGTGTCTTCTTATGACCCGCCAGCTCGACGTGCTGCTCCCATGGTCGGGGATCGTGCGCAAAGCATAAACCTGGATAACATCCAGCCCAGCATTGCGGCCAACAGTGGTGAGCATGCTGCATCTGCTATCCACGAAGTCCTGAGAAGCTGATTTTGCTGACTCGTGCCAAGATTATGACGCCTACTCTCAGTCGAATGTAGATGATGAGGAAGATGGTGAGTTTGCCTGAACCCTATAACCAGCAAGACTGGTTGATTCATTCCTCTCTAGAGCCTTCAAACGTGCGGCATGCGTCGTCAGCAGGCGATGAGAGCGAAGAGGGTATCGTCGATCCAATTCAGCTCGACAACGAGGCTATCGAGTTACAGACTCTTGTCTTGCGAGACATCAATCAGGCCTCGCAGGCTCTGATCGACCAGATTTTTAGAGACCAGAAACCCAGATATGAGGTGTGGAAACGACTGATCGCCGTCCACCGCAAGCCGTTCACCGAGTTCCGCCGCATGTACGTCGATGAGAGCGTGCCATTGATCGATATACAGGACTCAGCCGATCGTCTAGGCAAGGACGTTCAGAAGCAGGCGCAAGCCATATTCGCATCCGTGAATCTGGCGAGTTTGCTTGACGAGATCTGCGGCCTCTCCCTCGACCCAACAGCAGTTCTCCAGCGCCTGGACCAGGACTTTCCTGCCCCTTTCATGCCCTTTTTCCACGAGATGATCGACGAAGGTGTGGAATGGAATGTCGACGGTAAAATCGTCAGACTGGCGCTCAGCATTCGCACCCAACGCCTGATTTGCGCCATTGAAAACAGGCAAGATTTCGATATTGAGCGCGCTGTTGCAGCTATATTCTCTAAAGATGATGATGCTCAGGAGCCGGACGAACTCCTTACCCCGGAGAACATGGCAGGCATATGTTGTCTCAAACAACCTCTAGAAAATGCCATCGCTACTGCTTGTTACGATAGGGTCAAAGACATCCTCGAGACGGCACGTCAAGCGAGAAGCACTGCGGACATCATACCACATCTCAAAGAAAGGTTTCCCCCACAGGGCTGGGTTTCAGACCAGATCGACTGGGCATACGAGCAGTTTCAGGAAGTGCAGCGAACCATCCAGGACGACCTGCACGCCGCAGCGAGCAACCGCGAAGCGTCGAGATCTGTCGCTGGCTCACAGGGCTCACAAGCCTTTTCTCAGGCCTCGCAACAAGTTATACGCCCTCGGACGTAAGCAGGCTCTCCGGCTCCATGTTGCAACGATTGAGTTCTACTAACCACATGCAGATCCGGACAACAGCTCCCCATCACCAACAGCGCCGTTGCCCGATTGATGCAGCTTGGGGAAGCTGCTGGTGTGTCACAAGATGCCTATGGGCCTGCATCCTTTGGCAACGCTTATGACGGCCCGCGATCTCCGCAGTATGGCCGGAACAGTCCCCTCAATGTACCTGGCTCACCGGCCTCGACAACAAGCGACATGTATGAAGACGCCATCCTCAGACAGCTTCCCTCTTCAAGCCGGCAGACATCCTCTCAGGCGCGCGTTGTGGGCTCGCAGACCCAACTACCTGCCGCCTCCAGCTTCCGGTCAGCCAACAGCAACAACGACGGTAACAGGAAGCGAGCACGGGCCCAGGATGAAGATGTCTTTGAGACTGATGATGTGGACGACGACTTTGAGCAAGACGAACGAGAGCCCGATGAGCGCCGACGCGCCGAAGACCGACGTGCCATGCCCCCGCCACCGTCGAAACGCTCGCGTCATGACACGCTGCCCTCGTCAGCCACTCTCGTCGGCTCCTCCGCTCCCCTGCCGAGGCGTCACGCCGTCCCAGATCACAGCCGAGCCTTCGATCAGCGGGATCCCGAAAATCCGAATGACGAAGATGGACGCAGCCACACTGCTTCCTCCTTTTCGAGCTCCGCCATCCACGCCGACTACCGCGACATCCAGAAGCGCAACCGCAACAGCACCCCCACGACCCCACGCGTCCAGCACCGCGTCCCTTGGTCCAACCGTGACGTCAGCAAGCTCATCGACCTCATCGCCACGCTGGGATGCAACTGGAGCCTGATCGAACAAGGGGCGAATCCGCGCACCGGGCAAAGCACCAAAGACGAGGAGCCCACGACGTATGACCCGGAAAGGCACTTCGAAGACCGCCGAGGCCAGCAGGCGATTCGGGACAAGGCGCGCAACCTCAAAGTGGACTTCCTCAAGTATGTCCTCCCTCGCCATCTCTCACGTGTGTCCGTCTACCCTGCCAGAGCACCAGCTAACGCCCGTCTCCAGAGCGGACATCGTCTTACCACCCGGCTTCGACAGGGTCCTCCTCGGCACGAAGGAGGTGAAGGCGCTCACGGGCCGTGGCAAGAACCCACACCGGCGCGAGCGCGATATCGACGCGGACGGAAACCCCACCAACACGGAGTACTACGAGGACTAAAATCCGTCTTGGAGTCGGGCCCTTTCGTCCTCACTGTGCCCTTCGTGCGCTTGGGGTGGCTTCGAAAAGATCTAGGCGAGGAAGTCTGCACGGAAGTGAGTGAGGCCCTTTCTGTTCTCCCAATGTCCAGCTCGGTCTAGCACGCTGTGGACTCGAGCTTGTCCCCTTTTTTCGGTCGAAGCGAGTGATTAGACAGTTTCTTTGCTCCGGGGGGGCAGGGTTTCTTTTTTCCCGCGGACACCCGTGGGGCAATAATGTTGCTGCAACGTCACTAGAAAACAATGGAAGATTTGATACCCGGCACGAAAAGCGTCAAATGTTGATGGATAAGACTATTGAAATTCGATAACTAGAGGGTTGGTGATGCACCTTTCAATCACAAGGTCAGAGTCCTCTGAAGACAGTAACACAACATTATTGTAAACATCTCAATTGAACTAACACAGGAGAGAAATATCAGGGCCTCCGTCTGGCCCTCTGTTTTTTACACTCCGTCAACCATTTCAACCCTTTCATCGTCCATCCTGAGGGCTGGACTTGCGCCACGGCACACCGCATCATCCCGACTGCAAGACGACAGAGAGACCATAGGCCTCCAGCCTCATCTTTCCGTCGAGCGGCGTTTGCACCATTTGTTCGGGATCCGTCTATGACCGCACTGTTTTGCAGAGTTCATCAAAGTATGTATGGCGAAAGGAGTGTAACGCATGAGATAGGTAAAAAGGGGTATGCTACATGTTGCCAGGCACCCAGGTGAAAGAAGCGGTGGCAACTGCAGGAGAAGGGGAAAAGAGGCCAAGGAAAAGGATGGAACAGACTCGAGTAGGTCTGTTTGTGGTATCGACGGTGGGGTTCTCTTGCAAATGCCGAGGAATCATAAGCCATCGTCAGTAAAGGCCGAGGTACGGCCATGAAAAGCGCCAGCCCTCTGGAGAGAAAAGTAAAAAGAAGGAGAAACAAGAGAGGGCGTTCGTGATCCAATTAACCGCTGATTGCTGGTTGTCCATTATTGTCCAGAGGGGCGTGAGGGCTCTATCGTCGGCGGTTCGCCGGGTCCCTGCTCTTGAGGCGGGATGTCCTCCAGCCCTCATACCACTGCTCGCGGCTGGCCTCGCGAAGCTCCGCCCGCCATTCGGTGAAGACGGCTTCTTTGAGCTTGTTAAAGTCGCAGTGCTGCTCGTCATAAGGGTCGGCAAACCCCCACGGAAACTGCCGTCCGGCAATTTCAGGCTCATACAGATCTGGGCTGATGATGGAAAGAGGCAGGAAGGGAGTTTCGTCCTTCTCTTGCTTCTCCTCCTCCTTGGCTTTGTGGCGGCGGATGGATTGGCCGGACAGTCTCTTGGCCGATGGCGAAGATGGCACGGACCGGACCACCTCGTCACCGCCTTGGATTGGCAGATCATCGTCTTCGGGAGACTGGTCGGAATCATCCTCGAGCGCGTCCTCGTCGGCCTCTTCGATACGGTCCGAAGAGTCGTCATCGTCGTCGCCCATGCCGAGAGCCTCCAGGGGGTCCAGATTAGCTTTCTTCAGGCTGTCCCAGACAGCCTTCTTCAGAACTTGCATATGCTTCGTCGTGATGGTGTCGGCTTTGGAGACAACGGGAATGACCGTCGTCTTGCCCTGCAGGGTACGTAGGACTTGGAGATCGAGATCCTCGTCGAGGCCGCCGGACACGCGGTTGAGAAGCGGCTTGCCGCCGTGGCCATTGGCTGAGGTGGCCTTGGCGGACGCCAGGTTGCGGTCAAGCCGAGCAGGGTCAAGAACCATAAAGGCAGCGTGAATGTGGGTATCCTGAACGCCAGGCGATCGCACAACCTTCATCTCTTCGGCAAAGGTTTCCTCGAACCGGCTTTCCAAGAACGCCGACATCTCGCGGAGCTGGAGATCGACAACATTCTTTTCCAGACCCTCCGAGTCCCAAAGTGTAAGGCCGACACGCTCCCCTTCGATTTCCGTCTCGAGGTAATGGGGGATAAAGTTGCCAGACGCAGCCACTCGAGGTGCTTCCTCCTCGATCTCGCCGCGGCGGGATCGTTTCTTCGGAGGGAGGGCTAGACTGGTCTTCAGAAACTCGAGGAAGGAGGTCTTGCCGGCGCCACGTGTGCCGATGATGAGGATGCTGCCGAGGGAAAGCAATGTGAGCGGGGTGAGACACGGCAAAGCATGGTGAACATGGCAGATCGGTGGGCCGGGAAGGGAAGAGATGGGAAGCGGGCGGGGCATCGTTCACTTACTTGAAGGGAGTGGGATCCTTGCGTCTCCTGACCCGCCTGGGGCTGTTGATGGTGCTGATGGCACTGCTGGCATAGCTGTAGCGGCCACGATGGGTCATGCTCTCGGTGCGAGCATAGGGGTCGTAGGCGTTGCTGGGGATGGGGGGGACCGGGGGAGCGCTGCCGACGCTGTAGGCGGGCTCCATAGAGGGACGAGAGGTGGTGTACATGCCGCCACCGCGGTGATCGTCAGAGTAGACAGAGCCGGCGTCGGTGCGCAGGTCGGAGGGGATGGAGTTGGAGAGAGGAAGCTGGTCGTGGGCGTCGTAGAAGTCGGGCAGCTTGGGGGGATTCCTGGAGATGGCGGCCTGCTGGCGCTGGCGTTCGAGTTCCTGCTCCCTCAGGGCTTGGGCTTTCTTACCGCCCTTCCCCAGGTCACCGGATTTACTGCGTCGGAGCAACATGCCTAGGCTGGAGCGACGGACGGGCGGCTGGCTCATTCTTTGCTCAAAGTGCAGCTGGCCGAGATGGCATGAAAGGACAGTTTCAGACTGAGTAGTCGCGATGAGACGGTGGAGCTTGGCGGGCAAGCGAGAGACAGAAGGGTGGAAGCGCAACGTCAATTGACGAACCACTGGGGCGGGACTGAGCTTGACTTATGACGAACCGGCTGAGTCCGGTGGCAGCTGTCGTGGCTCGCTGAGCGAACAGGCTTGGGTCGGTTGGTGGGGTTCGACCGGTCGCAGGATGACGGATGACGGATGACGCCGTGTCGGCAGATGCGTGGGTAGGGTCGAACGAGGGCGCGTGTGTATCCCAGACCGGGTCGCAAGCAGACGAGAACGACGGGTCAATGTCCGTCGACCTGGTGCACCTGCTGCAACAGTGAGGATAGGAACTGAAATGATGCGCGGCAGGGAAGCGGCAGCGGGCTATTTAGGCAATCGAGGGGGTGGAGGTCGACAGGACGTCGCAACGGTGAAGGCGAAAAGGGGGTAAGTAGCAGAGAGCCGCAGGGCGGATTGCGATTATGCGTGGGTTGGTCGCAGTAAGGGGTTTGGCGGCAGCGGCGCCGTCGCAGGGTGGGTGCTGTTTCGAGTGAAGCTTGGGCTGCGTGAAAAGCCAAGGCAGTGCTGAGGGCACGAAGACAGGTAGGTAGGCAGGAAGATCTGGGGCGGAGTCGCGCGCGAAAAGTAATGGGAGGGCAATATGCAGTGCCTGGGTAGAATGAAGTGATCAGCCAGGTGCCAGGAAGTTGCTTGTCACGGAGAGCAGCGCGCGCGGCAGCAGGTCGATGGATGGTTGCGATTCGCAGAACGATCGAGTGGTTGG